TAAAATTTATAATATAAATATATAATATATAATTATAATAATAAATAATAATAATAATATTAAATATTAATAAATAATAATAATAAATATATATAAATATAAATTATATATATACTTATATTTAAAAAATTTATTTTAATTAAATTTTTCAAATTTTATATGACATGAATCACGATCAGCGATCGCGAATGTGTTAAATAATATGACAAAAAAAAAAAGAACAAAATAAATTTGATGTTCGTAACGATGAAAATTTTCCTACAATCATTGGTTTGAATCGATCGTTAAGTTTTCCATCGCCGTTGTGTCCGAGTTTGAGAGTGCGATATTAAGAAGAGTACCGTGAAAAAAATGTCTGAAAAAACGTCGATATTTCTCAACAAGAGGTCAGCTTCGTAGGACGGAAGGAAGGAAGGAAGGAAGGAAGGAAGGAAGGAAAATAACGTAGCTTCGATGTAATTAGAACGCTCCAATTACACGACCATTTAATGCTTTCACAAATAAACGACATTAATCGTGTCGTCACTATGCTCCAATCACGCACCTCTTTCTTTTTGTTATTCTTTTTGTTTTGTTGTTGTTGTTGTTGTTTTATTTCTATCGAAGGAAAAAGAAGAATATCCTATTTCGTCCTAGTGCGTGATTAGTCTTGATTGAAAGCTACGAGATTTGTTAGTTGAACGGTACGCGTTATGACGTACATATACGTGTACTGTATACATACTATACATCCCATAATTCGATTTCAATGGTCGACAGTTGGATCCGACTCGGTTAGCCTATGAAATGTCCATAGTGTTTCATTGATACACGTCGTAAACACATCGACGTAGTCGTAAACAATACGAATATGATCTCTGCGTTGAAGATCTGATTGCATCGAACAAGCAAAATTCATATTATTTATGCAATTAATATCTTATCAGAAATACATATTTATTTAGTTAATCAAAATGTTCGTTTTGATATTTTAGAGAAATTTTGTCATACACCTTTTTCACGTACGCATCGAAGAACAAAGAAACGGTCAACAACATTTTATCACCCTAGGCAATATTTTATATTTAACTTTATACGGTCAGTATTTGGATTTCATTATTATATTCATATTTTATATAATATATGATCAATATTTAACGACTATTTTGTTTTAATGAAAATCATTTGCTGATATTTTCTCGCAAATAGAAAATATTTTTTATTGAAAATATTGCGGCAATTATTTTATAATTGAATATAAATCATGAAAATATGTATACCAATTGGAAGTGCAAGGTAAAAATGATGTAAGACGATCATGTTGAATTTGGAGTTCACTAAATGTCGAAAAAAACGGCCTTTATCGAAAGTTTCAATTTCGTAACGTGTGATAAACAACACCAAGTATAGTCAATTTTCCAGTCGAAGGATTTTCTCGCCACGATAATGGGGGAACCTTATTTTCCTTTCGAGATCCATTTATTTTTGGTACAACGAGATCGATCACTCCGTAAGAAGAAAAAAAAAAAAAAAAGAAGAAAAAAGAAATAAAAAAATAAAGCAGAGACAAAGTCGTCGTTTTTTTTTTTTTTTTTTTTTTTTTTTTTTTTTTTTTTTTTTTTTAGTCCTTTCGACCAAGAAAAAGACCACCTCGTGTGTATACATTTTTCAACAGAGATTTCAACTCGTAGAAAACTTTTGGTTACCGGTACAAATTTAGTTGTCCAACTTGAAAATGGTAGGAGGTAGAGGGTGAGAGTGAGGATGATGATATTTCGTAGGTGTGGCTTTTAGTTCATCCACGTTACTACTACGTATGTGAATCTGTTTCAGTTAGTAAAGCATCAAATAAATTGTTGAAAAAACTAATTTTATTATATAATATTATACTTTATTCAGTTATTTTAACAAATCGATTTTTCGTCAATTATTCTTTGTCGCGAATAAATAAATATTTCTTTTGTATTGATGCCCTCGGCCAACATTATCGCGTACTTGAATAAAATGTATAAAAGTAGTTCGCGGAAGAATCGATTACTCGGACGTGTCCAACTTTATCGGACACCTATTATGGTATATTATAAAGTTTTTTGTTGAAGCTACTAATGCGTACCTACACCTTTATCATTTCTTTTATCACGAAGAAATACGTATTTGAAGTAAAAAAAAAAAAGTATATTAACGATTAGGGTTTAGTAAAAGGATTGAAAAAAATGTAGGTAAAAATCATGAAGGAATATAATATATGATTATTATTATCATCCGTGTAAGGTATTTAATGGAATGAGGCGCGTGTCGTTAGCCCCGCAGAGACACCTAGCAGAGAAATTTAGTCGAATCAATGAGGTATTCGCGAGCATGAAAGAGGCAGTAACAACCCCTTCCCTAAAAATAGACTACCTCGTAATGGAAGAACCTGGTTTGCTTTTCGTCGAAAGGGTTCAAACTTAGGTCATGTTACTAAGATCTTTAAAGGAAAGTATCTGCTTCTTTCGTACCTTCTAAGATTAATTTCGATTTCTCTCTCTTTCTCTCTCTAGATATATATAGATATATATACCAGCAAGCAAAAGTGTTGGAATAGAAGAACCACCTGCCGGCATGGTGGAAGAAAACCGGTGTCGTTCTTCGTGCAATGCAATAAGGTCGACGATCGATGTGTACCGTGGAAAACTTTTCACGCTATTTAGAATAATATTATTAGAAAATAAAAGGTTAACGGGGTATTTGATCGTTGTTGGTTCAATGAAATAAGAGACAGTAAATATATAACATTAAAAGTTAGTTGAGAAAGTAGTAAAACCGATCGTGACTTTTAAAATCGATAATTCCAAGCGTACTCGGAATGCGCAAATAGTTTGACCGAGGAAAGAAGAGTGTCAGCAAGGTTAAACGGAATGAAAACTCGTGGTGTTGTGAGAGAGACCTTCGTAGAGCACGTTGCTACACTGGTAGCTTTCTCTCTCTCTCTCTCTCTTTCTCTCTGAGAGAGCTGGTCGATTCTCCTTGAAACGGAGCTTGGTGGGCACGTGGATGCGGTTTTCTTCTACTCGTTTTCTTCTTAACGAGTGAGAAGAAGGTATTAGCAGTAAGTAGTAATGACTGGCGTTGATATTGGCGTTGGTACGCTCCCGTACCAGTAGTAAAAGCAACGATAATGCCGGCAGTAGTAACGGCCGGCCCCTTGTCGCTTGAATCGATAGTCTGCGTGCACGAAATGCCGATAAGAGCGCTCGTCGCTCTGCTTGCTTCCAACGTCCTTTGCTCCTATTCTCTTACTTTTACCCTCTTTTACTAGTTACAGGACTATGAGGGAAAAAAATAGATGATTGTTCTATCTGGCACGCTCGTGTTTCGCGTGCTCTAACCAATAGAAGCACGAGCTCCTACCGATCGTGCTATGAACATTTTGTGTAGGTGTATGTGTGTGTGTGTGTGTGTGTGCAGTTGAAGAATAAGGGATAGAGGAAAGGACGCGCGTTCTGATTTACTGGCTAAACGCACTACCACACACGAGGGGTAGCTGACCGGAACACACGTCGGATCGAACTTCCCTACGAAGGATTGATCGAGGGCAAACGGAAGGTAGACGTTTCGAACAAGTAACCATCGGAAAGGCAAACGATGGAGAAAAATGGATAGACAGACATGGAAGGGAAGTTACAATGACTTCCTCTCTCTCACTCTTTATTTTTCATCTGTATTTCGTTGGAAAAGAAGAAAAGCAAACGAGGGATTAGAGTGACGAAGGGTGCGAAACTAGTAAAGAGATAGGGAGGGAAAAATGGTCGAAGGAGGAGGAGGAGGTCGACGCATATATATATATATATATATATATATAGAGAGAGAGAGAGAGAGAGAGAGAGAGAGAGAAAGAAAGAGAGAAAGAAAGACACTTCGAGGGAGGTGGAGGCACGAATCGATGTAGGACACATGTCCCGATAAGCATCGGCACGACGTCGTCGTTGTGTCATATTTTATACCTTTTCGGAAGAATTTTGTTGGAATGATATATGCAATGATAGAAAGAAAAATAGAAAGAAAATGAGGGTGAAAGGATTTCACTTAGAATACCCACCCTTGGTCGCGGTCTCTTCATGTCTCGTACTTCCTCCTCGGTGGCATCTTCTCAGCGACGGCACTCGCTGTTTGTATCGTACACCTTCCCCATAGCGATTTTGTTCCCTTCTTCGTACACTTGTACTTGTTCTTTTATTCCTTTGTTATTTTTTCGTAACCTCGACTACGCCTCTGCTATACTCGTTGTCTAAATCCTCTCGCACATTGTTTACCGACACGAGAATGTGATATAAATGACGGACGATAGGAATATAATAATAATAAAAAATGGAGATAAAAATGAAAGTGGTAGTGGTGGTGGTGGTGGTGGTGGTGGTGGTGGTGATGGTGTTGGTAACGCGGAGCGAGCGTCGTGTTTCTCTACTCGCGCGCACGGATCAGACTGAAACCGTCGTCGACGCGAGCGACGCTTCAACGACGTCGAAACACGCCGAGTGCGCTTCTGCTGCTGCTGCTGCTGCAGCTACTACTTCTTACTAGTGATATCTAGTAGTAGTAGCAGTAGTAGTAGTAGTAGTAGTAATAGTAGTAGTAACAGCAATAAAAGTAGAGGGTGCCGTTTCGTGGCGCGTCGCGAATCGAGTCGAACCGAAACCAACGGAGGATTTTACGCTTGTACGCATGCGTTCTGCAAGTTCGCGCCGATCGCACGCCCCTACACACGTTTTACACACCCCCATTCCACCTTTTATTTTTTCTTTCCTTTTATCCGTTATAGCAATTCCTTGCGTCTGACTACACGCCGATATTATCTACTTTCTTTTCCACGAATCTCTACGATTAAACTAACTTATGTTAAATGCAATTCATTTCAATTGTTCTCTTCATTTCATGATTTTTAATCAAATCGTGTAGGGATAGGTATGTTTTCCTATTCTACACGATCATCATTCCTTTAAATGCAATCTTTAAAATCCCCTTTTATTGCTACTAATACTATTACTTTCTATTCCTCTCAATTGGGCCTATTTTTATTTCATTTAGTAGAGTTTTTTTTTTTCTATCTTTCCCCCTCGGTAAAATCTCCCAAGCAAGCGAAATCGTTCGCAAGGATTGAATTGGTCGATAAGATAGTTCCACGTCCCAACTACCCTTTCCTTGTGGCCGTTTTTTATTCATTCGTTTATTCCCTCGACTCTCGAAGTAAGATTGATTGTATTATATCGGTAGGCGTTAGCTCTCCGATTGGCCATTATTTAAACATATTTCCATGCCTGTTTTCTTTCATTATTCATCGAAAAGCACAAGCTTACACCATTACGATCCTTGATCACGATCGATTTCTCAACGATGATAAAATAAACTATTCTAATTTTTTTTTTTGTTCATTCTTCCCAAATGTTAATCAAGCAAACTTAATTTTAATTCATCAATTTTATTTTCAATTAAAAACAAAAAGAATATGAATGAATCTTTGTACTCGTCACAGCCTAGCGTTAAATCGTCTAACATAGAACGTAAACGAGTAAATACCATCGTGCTTTCTCTTGCAACACTATTACACATTGAGGATCGGATAATAGCAAATGTTTACTCTCGTAGTCGATCCCTTACCCTACTTGACAAGCTTTTTCATCCTACTTGACGATGCCATGCAAGGACAAACGGCAAATGGATTCTCTCTTGTGCTTGTTGTTTCCAAGATATACGAAGAGTACAATCTCTTTTCTCTTTTTTTTTTTTTTTATAAGTATAATATTTTATTTCTTTTTAACTGTTATGTTAATAGTATATGTTTCATATGTGTATGCGCGGGCACATGGCGCCTTAGCAATCGTGTTTTTCCTGCAGAAAATAAGCGGACTCTTTTGTTCTTTTATCACAAGTTCCTCTTCTCTTCACTCGACATTCCTGAGTACTCGTAACAACCTAATCAATCTCGTTAGCTTGACAGTTCAGAAGAGAAGTGTCTGAAGAGTACGATACTATCTGAATAGAATTTTTCGAAGAGCGAACAAAAAAAATAGGAAGAGTATATATATATATGTATATATACTCATCAAGTATCATATATATATATATATATATAGTATTACTATAGTATACTATTATAGTATAGTATTATTATAGTATACATACTACTATATATAGTATTACTATAGTATACTATTATAGTNTATATATAGTATTACTATAGTATACTATTATAGTATAGTATTATTATAGTATACATACTACTATATATAGTATTACTATAGTATACTATTATAGTATAGTATTATTATAGTATACATACTACTATATATANTAGTATTATTATAGTATACATACTACTATATATAGTATTACTATAGTATACTATTATAGTATAGTATTATTATAGTATACATACTACTATATATATATATATATATATAGTAGTATAAATATATAGTAGTATAAATATATACGTACTACTTTAGTATATAAAAACAAACTAGAAAACAAAACAAAAAATTAGGGATTGAAAGATTGAGATGAGGAAGGGAGGTAGGAATTTGGAAAGCAATACTTGCGTACACAGAGACGTTTACTTACCCCACCGTGTCAAGAACGATTCAAAGGAATGTCCCAAGGGTGCATATCATCATCTTTCTTTCTCTCTTTTTGTCTTTCTCTTTCTTTAGCACGTAAGTATATGTATCAACGTCTATACCGTGCGTGTCTATGCTGAGTAGAGAAAAGTGGGAGTGAGGAATGGGTGGATAGGTGGGTGGTTGCTTGCTTGGGATTCCATAGAGCCTGAGTAAACCGTTCTAGCGGTCGATGGCTTACGCTTGCGCTCTGTGAAAACTCTTGCGTCAAACGCGTTTTCCGTTTTGCAGGACGACGTTCTTCCCCTTCGTTGATACGCTACTGGCCTATCTTAAATGGCCTCGAATAGAATCAAATCAAATCGAATCGGTCGATCGGCCGGCTTTATTATAAGAAATGGTACTTATATTTTTTAATTTTTTTTTTTTTTTTTTTTTTTTTAGAATGAGATATTATATAACGATTGATTTATAATTTTGTTATAAACTAATAGATGCGAATATTTTGAACCGTAGACGAGTTCAACCGAGTTAAAAAGAACGAAGAGATGGGGGAGACTATTTTTTGTTCGATCTATATTATAAATACTGAAAGAATAGAGGAAAATTAATGGTTCAGGTTTTATGATCAGTTGGTTGGAATCATTGTTGCCATGGTTACAATACTGGTCAACAAATTTCATAATGGAATTGTATACTTCTTTCGTTTTTATTTTATAAATTGGCTTCACTGTACTTTGTTATCGGAAATGTACGCGAAAGTTGCATGAATTATTACGATTTATATGAATCCAATATGAAAACTGTTTAATGATCAACATTCAATTCATAATAAAAAGGACAAATACTAAATATTAAACAATAAAAATATCGATAATATAAGAATTTTATCCTTTACAATAATTCCAAAATGAAAGAAAAGAAAAAGTCATTGGAATAGATCAACGTCAAATTGAAAATCATAAAATTCGCACAATTACTTTTATACCAACCCAATACTTTTCAATATTCTCCGATAGAAAATATTCGCTTTTTTTTTTGACGGTCAGAAAAAAAAAAGAAGAAAAAAAAAATAGAACCGTATAAAAAATTGATTTTTAGTCACACGACACAGTGGTGAATATTTTGAGAATATTTTCTTTCTGTTCGATTATTTGTATCCTCTTCTGGTTGAACGATTTCAGTGACACTTTGTTGTTGCTGTTGTTGTTGTTGTTGTTGTCCCATCTTATCGTCTCGAGTTAGATCACTATCTCTACAGTCAGATAAGTTTCTTTCTTGAGATTGTTGGTTGGGTGAAGTGGTGCGTTGACGATGTTCGATTTCCGCTAGATTTATCACGATGTTCGGCTGTAACCAGAATATCAATTCTATCTACTATCATAGATGTTCAATCATCTGATTGTTTGTTCAAAACAAATTTGTTTTTGTCAAATAATCTTTTAAAGTTTTGAAAGATTTTTCATTTGCTTTAGAGTTATAACATATTTAGGTTGACCACACATATATATATATATATATATATATATATTTCATATTAATATTGATTTACTTAAATATCGATAAAGATAAATGTATTTAAAAATGCTTACCCTTCAATAAATAACTTTAGAAAGAAATACTCGCCAAAAGCAATACCATATATTAGTTTCCTTTAATAATGTACCGAAAGGAAATCAACGTTTCAAGTGTCAGCATATTTAGAATCGAAAATTTACATAACTGAATCATGCGATCAAACTGCAACTGGAATTCCCGTCGGCTTTTTCGAGATATCAGCTTCGAGGGCTTTAAATCTCGAATCTCGACCTATACTATCCGAAATAGATTGCTAAAGTTAGTTTATTTCGAGGAATCGGAACAATGGTTAAGAAGACTTTTAAACATCATTCCAAATTCCAAGTAAATTCTATTGGAATAATTGAAAGTTGATTGTTGGTATTGTAATCAAAAAGTAAAAAGTAAAAAAAAAAAAAAAAAATATAAGAAAGATGTGGCAAAAAAAAAAAAGGGATATGTTTTATTTGACGAAAACATTTCTAAATTTCCAACAAAACTGGGTCGAGCTTGTAAAAGAGTAAGCGTAAAGAGAGAGAGAGAAAGAGAGAGACAGAGCGAGTTGATACAAATTTGCTTAGAAATTTGTAGAATAGAAAAGAGAAAATTAGATAGAAAAGGTAAAAGAGAGGGAGAGAGAGAGAAAGAGTGACGACATGAAGCTATTTTAAAACTCTGACTAATTGCTAACTCTTACAGTTATTCATTTTGACTTTTTCTAATTGGTTCAAAAAGTATATTGTTATATACTTGTGCTGTGAATTTTGTTCCCTTTTGACATCGTATGGCTTATTTCAAGTAATTACATTAATCATTCACTTAAACCCGAATTACCTTCTGGATCCGACCAAATTTGTAATGCAAACTTAAGAAATGAAAAAAAAAAAAAAAAGAAACAGAAAAGTATTAACAAAAAATACATTGCAAAAAGGAAAGAAAAAATGGGAATGGGATGGAGTTAGGAACTTTAGAAAAGTGGAGTTGAAATATACGCGAATAACCGCAAGAGGCTCAGGAGTTTCTAAAAGGTTACTTTCTCTCTCTCTCTCTCTTTCTCTCTCTCTGATGCTAATCGTCCCTTTGAATCTATTTCGTTTATCAACTCCTAAGAGAGAAACTCCGTCATTTGCATAGCTCTCTTTTATCATGAAAAAGTCGTCTTACTTCTTTGAATATAATCACTCGTACCAAGTTATCTTTTAAACTCGACAAATGCTTCAATGAATTTCATTAATTTATATAAGTTATTTGCTAAACTCGAATATATAAAGTATCGATAAAGCAATTAACTTAGCTACTTTCGATAGGTTTGTAAAAGCACCTGTATTTGTACCTGGATTTGTAGAACGTTGTGTAATCCGGTAGTAGGCTGTCGCGGCATCAAAGGTGTTAAGGATCTGCAAGCTGAACCGTCCGATAACACGTGTCTCTGTGAATCCGATAAACGATTTTGATGCATCGACGATCTTCCACGTCGTGGAAATTCAGCTGGTAGGACTCTTCTTCTCTGTTTCGGTAATTTGCTGCGGGCCTGATGAAACAAATGATTCAATGAAATACTTATTGACAAATATTATTGAAGTAACATAATGATATGTTTGATATTAACCTGAGTGTGGGAGTAGAACATAGAAAAGTTGCTGACTATTACGGGAACCGGAAGTGCGATAGTAAGAACACCGGTCAAGGCACAGAGTCCACCAATGAACATCCCTGGAAAAGTTTTTGGCGTCATGTCGCCGTAACCGACTGTCGTCATGGTGACTAAAGCCCACCAAAGTCCTCGTGGTATACTGTCAAAATCGTTCTTAGGATTTTCCTGAAAAGAGCAGCCTACTGGAATTCCTGATATCGTGCAAGAAAAGCATTTGAAAAGCATTGAAAAAAGGATACAGTATTGTTGCTATTTAACGAATCAGAGTTCATTCATGATCATTCGAGCGATATAACTAAGAAAGAGAAAAATAAAGAAAGAAGAAAGAGTAGAGACGCGTGTCTTCAAGATGAGCTACTTTTGTCACGAGCTTGAGCTCCTTTCATGATTCATGTTTCTTATGAATTTTTCACCTGAGGAAAAGTCAGACTCATTTTCTTTGTCACTCTCCCTTGACGTTACAAGAAAAGCCTTTCATTTTCTACGCTTCGTTTGATGTTTTGATCCTTTGTTCGGACGTAATAACGAAATCTTTCATCCTTTTAATTAATATCCTTATCTTCAAGGATTATCATCTTCTTTCTTTAAGACTGAATAATAATTGGAGATATTGTTTATTTTTGTTGATAGATGAACTTGTAATCTGGGTATTTCAAGTATCATCAGAATACCTGAGTATCTTGGAATAGTTTATTTATATGTATTGAATACTTGACTCGTTAGGTACTCGTTGAGTATTCGCAAAATTTCTTAGTTAATGGAATTTCATAAATTTACAATGACACGAATATTAATGTAAGTTGACAAATTGTCAAAATATTCTACATTTTTCTATAATATAATAAATAATCAATTTGATTTTTATAGAAAAATACATCTATTGAGATATAAAATATATATATTATTCAGACGAGTAGTTTTTCTCGTCGAGTAAGGTAATATCCAAGATCTTGAGTAGATACTTACTCACCTGAAGTCGTTCGGCATAAAAGACGAGACTAGCGAAGAGTACTATGCCAAAAGCAAGAAAGAAAACTAACAATGCTAGTTCTTTAGCTGATGCTTTGAAAGTGTGTATGAGTATTCTCAATCCAGGTGAATGTCTGGTCAATTTAAATAGACGAAGTACACGTGCTATTGACAGGACCTCCAGATACAGGCTAGACTCCGTGAAGAATTCCGTGTAGAAGCTGAACATAGCTGCTAAATCGATCGCGTTCACCGGCGACACTGCGAATTGCTTTAGGCTTGGACTGACCTACAATCGAATCCGAATCCTTTCGTCTTCTTCTTATAAATGCATTTGAGAAATATTTGTAACGACATAATGTAGTTGCAATCAAAGTTGCATCAAAGGATTAAACAAGACAATTTGTAAATTGTTTGAAACACTTACCAAGCATCGAATGGTTATCTCAAATGTGAACCAAGCATTGCAGGCATGTTCGATGTAATAAAATGCTCGATACGGTCGACCGATCTTTTCATTCCCGTAATGCTCGGTGAATTTAACGGAGTCATTAGTAGGACAATCGTTCGTACTAATTTGCGATAGATTATCGCTACTATTACTATTACCAGGATAGCTCTTTAAGCAAAAGCAGAGAACCGAAAGACAGATGAAAAAGATAGAAATGCAGGCTATGCACTTTGCCGACCAGGACGAGTAAGGCTCATCGAAAAGAGCCCAGATTCTTGGACGTAATCGTTGCCACTTTGTCAACGTTCCACGATTATATTCCTCCTCGTAACCGAACAGTCGTGAAATCTCCTCGTCGCTAAGTTTCTCCCCTTCTATGTCCAATTTGTCCAATATTGCCAAGGTTTCTTGAGTGTCTCTGTGAATGCTATAAGTACTCCAACAGCAAGGTTCTACCTTCAAAAATGTTCCAATTTCAATGATGACATTTTCATTTGATGAAATCGGTATCTATAGATTTGTGCTTGTTAACGAGTTCATCGAACTAACCTGATTAGAATCTAGACCCCAGAAATCGAGTTCTTCTTCAAAAAGTGGACCGCAAACGTCCGTCGGATAATGGAGTTTGCCTGTACGATAATAATTGAGAACCTGTGCGAAGACACCGGGATGCCTGTCGTAGAAATATTCGTTCAATATCGGATCGTAATTAACCGATGCCTTGGTTAGTCGTGACAATCTCGTGGCTGGTATTTTCTTCAAGGTCGTTTTGTAAGTTTCGTGACGTATACCACCGACATTAAGTATTACCCGATCGTTCCATCTTTCGTCAACCACTTTCCTCATCCTCTTATTTGGATTCTCTTCGATCGCATGGCAAGCACGCGATTCACGATGGATAAAATAAATGAAAACTTATGTGACAACGAGTTGCTAATATATTTATATATTGTATACTTGAAAATATCTTCTAAGAATATTTTTTCCAACGACTATCTTGCCAAATTTTTTCTTTTTTTTTTTTTTGATCCTTCATCCATTCATCATTCTTCTCTCCATACTGCATCTGAACTACATTAGAAATGACGTGTAAAATTAAAAAAAATGTACAACACAACGTGGTCTTGTATTTTGTGTTGTTGATCGAATCACCTAACTAACTAAGACGGGTAAAAGCTTTATCTACAAGGAGACATAGAAAAGCCACAGGTTGCTTCTTTAATCGTCCACTCGGTCTAGCCGATCGCAACTTTACGTCACGATCGTTCTTTTCCTCTAGTATCTTAAGACGATAAACGACTATATCTATATACTAACATAGATATACGTGGATTAACACTGTCAGCTATTTTTCTTTCTAAAAATGTCTAAGTGTTAAAATAAAAGTTTTACAAAGAGAAACTCTCTAGGTGCCTATCGCGATGTGCTTAATCTAAATTCTAATTTGTTTTATTTTAAAAATTAAAGAACTCTTTTTTTCAAAGCAAACGATTTCTGTTAATCGCATTATTAACCAAAGCGACCATGCATGTTAATGAGAGAGCAAGTTTAATTACATGATCAACGATTAAAACAGCGGACACTAGAAACTAGTAGGGAAACAATGTGAACTCTTGAACACGTTATCGTTATAATACCAAATGAAATGAATTAAGTTAGTAATTGAAAGATTAAAAAAAAAGCTAAAGGTGTGGTCGCATTGTTAATAGTTGCCTAAGGCTAAAATCGATACTTATATTTATTAATGGATAGTATTTTTTGTGTGTTTTTTGTTTTTTTTTTTTTTTTTAATTAATTAACGTAAACGCGAATATTTTATTCATAGTCGGTATAAAATAATTAAATCACATTTTGCCGGTAGAATAATGTTTATCGTTTATTATAGAATTTTTAAAATTTTAAAATTAATATTAATAAATATATATTAATAAAATATATATTTATTTTATAATATTTAAAATATATATTAATAAATGTATATT